GAGTTGACAAACACAATTCCAGACAAAGAGACTCAGAACAGGCGAGAACTAAATAGGGCAGATAACGAGGGGCAGACAGGTGAGGAGGATAACTAATAATGAGACACGCTTTGAACAAATCAAACTACATTGGGACAGGAACAGGAAGGACCAAATAAGGAAAACAGGAACTCAACGGGAACCTACACGTGACACCATGACACTGCGAACAATCACAATCGTAATAGAAATTTCTAGGGATGCACTGAAATTAAAATTCTTGGCCGGAGCCGAACTAAATTAATTTCTTCAGAATGAGAAGGCAGATGTGATTTCAGAACAAAAGCTTGAGTGAAACTCGTCCCGCATTGATCACAGCTGTAATGTTTCTCTCCGGTGTGGATCCTCATGTGATTCTTGAGGTTTCGTTTACTTGTTAATCTCTTCCCGCATTGACCACAGGTGAAGGGCTTCTTCCCGGTGTGAACTCACATGTGAATCTTCAGACTTGATTTATATGGGCATCTTGTTTACACTGAGGGCAGGGGACAGATTTATCTTTTGCTTCTTGTTTTCCTTTCTCAGGTCTAAAAGAAACATTAAATCATGTTAGTTTTCAAATGAGAAAGAAAGTGAAGCCCAAAGTCAAGATCACTAATGAGTGCTAGACTCATTTCAATCCCATCAAATCACTAGTTTGGCTCTAGATGTCTAGATGGTGCAGGCTTGGCATGTAATCTGTAAGCAATCACCTCATTTACTCCACAACACAGGCTTCTTTGAATGAGGGAATGAGGAATGGAGAATAAACACCAACCTGTTTGTTCCTAAGTACCATGATGTTTCAATTCTGCAGGTTCTGGATCTCTCGTCTTCTCTCTGCTCTCTCCTTCTGCATTCAACTCCGATTCATTTCTGGTAGTTCTGCCAAAAAATAACATTTAATTCTTAATAGACATGATGTGAGATTAACGATAAATATTTCAGATTCAGCGAAATATGAATTGCGATTCAGTCTTCATTGATTCACAAATTTAAAAAATTTAATTTCTAGTTAACATAATACTAGTAATATGATGCTGTCGAACAAAACCCGGATAGTTTAGGGATCGCACACCTCACAAATAATATTATATTAATTATTGATCTTTTGTTTAATGATATTAAATGATGCCTTTTAAGACTTACCTCTTACTGTTTCGGGAAAAGATTCAATGCTTCGAGAGTATCAGAATTAGCGCTATCTGGTGGCAAGTAAAAAATAAAGCAGCCAAAAGCCAATGAAAGAAGCTCCGTCGTACGAATTGATTCATGTTACAAATAAAAACCTAACAATGTGTGTTTGTGTTTATTGAATTTCTCTCTTTGATAAATTAATTTACCCATTAAACAGTGGCATGTAATGACAGTACGAATATAAGTGTGATGTAACAGAAGAATATTGTACAACAATATTATACAATATTATTGTACAAGAATATTGCCAAAATACAGACAGCACATCACATGTCCCACCAGAGACAGTAATATATTCAGGGAAGACCTTGCATTTTCCAACATGACAATGCCAGACCACATACTGCATCAATTACAACATCATGGCTGCGTAGAAGGATCCGGGTACTGAAATGGCCAGCCTGCAGTCCAGATCTTTCACCCGTAGAAAACATTTGGCGCATCATAAAGAGGAAAATGCGACAAAGAAGACCTAAGACATTTGAGCAACTAGAAGCCTGTATTAGACAAGAATGGGACAACATTCCTATTCTTAAACTTGAGCAACTTGTCTCCTCAGTCCCCAGACGTTTGCAGACTGTTATAAAAAGAAGAGGGGATGCCACACAGTGGTAAACATGGCCTTGTCCCAACTTTTTTGAGATGTGTTGATGCCATGAAATTTAAAATCAACTTATTTTTCCCTTAAAATGATACATTTTCTCAGTTTAAACATTTGATATGTCATCTATGTTGTATTCTGAATAAAATATTGAAATTTGAAACTTCCACATCATTGCATTCTGTTTTTATTCACAATTTGTACAGTGTCCCAACTTTTTTGGAATCGGGTTTGTATTTTTATTCCTTATTTACAATTTTTTTTTTTTTTTTCTGTGTTTTTTGACTGTCACTGTCATTCTGTTACACTGTGGAGCTTCTGTCACGAAAACAAATTCCTCGTATGTGTAAACATACCTGGCAATAAAGCTCATTCTGATTCTGATTCTCATATGAATTGCATATGGCAAATTTTATTTTTCAGAAATATTTTGTATTCTTTGTATTACTTGTAAGACTGGGTAGGCCAATTTAAGAAAAGGTAAGGGAGTAAGTCCGAATTAAGCTAGAATAAAACAGATTTTTTTTAGTTTAAAACTCTACACACTCTTAAAATTGTCTTTTTTTTTTTAGACAATTTTATTTTGATGTATTGCATGTTCAGATATTCACACAACAAAATATTCTGGGGGCAATGAAACTTTAACCCTCTTATTGACAAAGTCGCAAAATTGCGACAAGACGTCATACTTAATCAAATGGACTGTAGTTCCTAATATGGTGTAATATCTAATTTGTATTCCCTACCACTAGATGGCAGACATGTAGTACTTCGATTCTACACCAAAATTACGTCACGTTCCTATTCAAAGTGTTCGAGGAAATAGCAGAGCAAGTGAGCGATCGTGTCATTGATGCGGAAGCAGTTCAGTTCAGAGCGTGCGAGTAAATTGTGAGATTTGTGAGAAAATCGCCAAATGGCTAATAAAAAGTTGTACCGTGAGGATGTGTTGCAAATGTTATTAGCTGATTCTGACTCTGAAGGGGAATATTTGCCGATCGGTCGTCTAATGATCGCGCTTCTCCCGGTACATCTTTGCAGCGCAATGGTGCCGCCGTGCAAGACGAGAGTGTTCACGAAGCACAAACAAGTGATCATTTCAACCCTTTGCCCAACGGGGATGTGGTGGCAGAGTAATATCTATTATCTCCTGAATATTACTGATGAACTGATCAAAAAGTAGGCTACTGTTCACATGTGTTTTACTACTATATAGTATAGTAATAATTTAGTACTTTCTCCTGTTTTATTGTTGGTTTCCTCGTTTCTTTTCATTCCAAATGATCAGAAAAATGCAAATAAGTTCAAATATCAATTCAATATCTATTATTTCCTGAATATCACTGATTAACTGATCAAAAAGTAGACTACTGTTCAAATGCGTTTTACTAAAATATAGTATAGTTATAATTTAGTACTTTCTCCTGTGTTATTATTGGTTTTCTCTTTTCTGATCATTTGGAATGAAAAGAAACATGCAAATAAGTTCAAACATAAATTCAATATCTATTATTTCCAGAATATTATGACATTCAAGAGGGCCGCCCCCTGATGACATCATAATATGCAAATTAGATGAGTATATTTACACCCCACATAAACTTTCGGTCATGCCCAACATTTTTCTAATTTACATTAGATCTCTATCTTTAAGCCCTTTCAAGCCACAAGCTGTTGAAATCTTGATGTCAAAATCCTGGCGGTGGCTGGCAACATTTTTTAAAACGCTGATGGGGAACGAGTTAATTACAACTCAATACTTCATAACAATGTGAGACTTTTGAAGCAGATACCAAGCCTCCAACAAAATGTCCTGTCGCTCATCACAGCTCTTCCACAGAAGACACCTTGTTTCTCCGCACATGAACATGAACTACTGACCGTGATGTCAGACTGTGGTGATCTGGTTTCTCCACTGCATGCATCCTCGTGTGTATCTTCAGCTGACTTTTAAAAGTGAAACTCTTCCCGCACTGATCACACGTGTGTGGCTTCTCTCCGCTGTGGATCTTCTCATGTGCATTCAGATTTGATGACTGACTGAAACTCTTGTCACAGTGTGAACACTTGTGAGGTTTCTCTCCAGTGTGGATCCTCTGGTGCAGGTTTAATTTGTATGCTGAAATAAATGTCTTCCCACACTCAAAGCACATATAATCTCTCACATCAGCATGCATTTTCTGATGTACTTTTAAATTGCTCAGCAGTGAAAAACTCTTTGCACACACAGAACATGAATGCGGCTTCTCCTGCGTATGAACTGTCAGGTGTTCCTTCAGGTTTGATGACCAAAGAAATGTTTTGCCGCACTGATCACATGCGTGCGGCTTCTCTCCTGTATGGATCCTCATGTGCATATTTAGATTTTGTTTGTGTGTGAAACTTTTTCCACACTGGTCACACATGAACGGTTTCTCTCCTGTGTGGATTTTCATGTGTTCTTTAAGGTTTACAGATTGCGTGAAGCTCTTCCCGCACTGATCGCATGCATACGGCTTCTCTCCAGTGTGGATCCTCATGTGATTTTTAAGGGTTATTTTTTGTGAGAAGCTCTTCCCGCAGTCATCACAAGTGAACGGTTTCTCTCCAGTGTGGATCCTCATGTGACTTTTAAGATATTGTTTGTGTGTGAAACTTTTTTCACACTGGTCACACATGAACGGTTTCTCTCCTGTGTGGATATTCATGTGATTTTTAAGGGTTATTGTTTGTGAGAAGCTCTTCCCGCAGTCATCACAAGTGAACGGTTTCTCTCCAGTGTGGATCCTCATGTGATTTTTAAGGGTTATTGTTTGTGAGAAGCTCTTCCCGCAGTCATCACAAGTGAACGGTTTCTCTCCAGAGTGAACTCTCATGTGATGCTCAAGACTTTGCTTGAATGGGAAACTCTTCCCACACTGAGTGCAGGTGAAAGATTTCTTGCCTCTTCTTTTCTTTAAAAATATCTTTTTAGTCTTCGTGCGACCCAAAGTTTTTTCTCCAGGTTTATCATGATGTTTCTCCTC